ATTATCTTAATGCAGAATATTCAAGAATTCCCAAAAGTCCAGCTAATCTTTATAAATCTCTCATACTTTAAACTCATTTAATGAACAAAACATCATCAGAGGTGCAGTTTTACCAAAGAAATAACTACCAACCATCTATGGGGATAATAATTCAGTGAATGGATATTCGGATGGTAAAGATTCTTGGTTTGTATAACCATTTAGTTCACAGAAGACAGATAGACCAAATGAAGATTAATGAAATAAGTGGTTTCTATTTGAATTCTGATGATTCTCTAACTAATCTTAACTCTATAGATAATTCTGAACTTCAGATAGATGAAGAAATTGAAAATCAGAATGCTGAACAGCTGAGATTCAACAGAATTGCAAATCAATCAAAATTACATTACAGATATATAGACAGACAATCAACGTGTAGCGTATGTAGTGAATAACTGATACGTTTACTGTACAATGAAATATTATATCAGAATGGTTTTTCTGGATATTATAGTTAATTCCAATGGTTGAGATCATAAGCCAATTAAAACTAGACCACCATGGATCGTGGATGAGCACCGCTGAGGAGACCCACACAAGGACGAAACGGTTGTCCAGTTCTTCCACGTTTGCCATGGTGGTCTAGCTTCAATTGACTAGTAATGGTAAATAAATCCCCAAAATAAATGGCTCTGTAAGTTTTCGACATTGGATGCTGACCACATTAGTTTTAATGGACTCACCCGGCTGAAGGCACTTGGTCATGCATCCTCACCAGGTCACGAGGGGGAACGCCGTGCTCAACATCCCCTTCAATCTCTAGCCAGATTAGATCAGACGATCCTCGATTTATTGATAGCCTATCAAATATATCTTCGAACCTCCGGGCATCTGTCTTTTGATTTCACTTGGTGGGTACGATTCATAATAGGTGTTACTGGTTAAAGCGTTGTCAAACTCCAAACACCTGTGGCATCTTCAGACTCATGATCTCAACCATTGAAATTAATATTATATGTTATGTTTATATTTGTTATTAAATAACAAGATTAGTTCAGCGAGAGTTCTCTTTTCGACGAATTTATTTTCAAAGGTGTACAATCGCAAATTTATATTGTAGTGTCGGTTATTATGCCAGGCCCATATACCTTATTTTAGCTTTCGGACATTCCATTCTATTCATTCTACTTGAGTCATATTTTGACCTTGTCAATTATTCGCTTGTCAGTCTTGACTGTTTTTATATGAGCGTATATTGTGTGCCCTTCTTATTTCATTAATCACATGCCTGTATCTTTATTTTGTCTGACTATAAATATTGAGTAGTTTAAAAGGGTTGGTTCCCCCCCCCCCTGCGCGTCATTTCGCTTTGTTCTGTCGCATTCACTTTACATAGGAAATATATGTATTCTCAAATCAATTCTCGTTATTTGACTTATTTAATTCCGTTATTGGATAACGCGATTTAAGTCGACGATGATATACGAGAATCAGCGATAGCAAACATTCGTACCTCTAAAATGGAGTCAGATCACGGGTCACCACAATATACTTCTAAATTCACTTTGGCATAGTTTGAATCTTCCGATTAATGTTTAGGAATGTAATTGATCAGTCTCTCATTGGCATATGGGCATACTGTGCGTATTGCCTTGATATAGCCTTAACTTACAGGGATTATAAGCAAAGATGGATAGTGGCCAGCTGTGGAATCCAGGATGCACGAGTCCCTGAGTGAACATCAACGAGTCTGAGATGCAGGTACACCCAGCTGACGAGTCACAATAGGACGAAACGCGCGCCAAACTGGATTCCACTGCTAGCCACAATATATATACTTATGTTTTTTTTTCTCAGGGTTATAATAATAATGATAAGAAACTTCTGTTATACATGGTGACAATGAGGTTAAATAAACATAGGTTTAAAAAAAAATGATAGGGAAATTATACTTGGGAAAGGATAGCTTAGCATGATAAGATAAAATGTAATGAGGAAGATTGTAGAAACAGAAATAATCCAGTTGAGGGTAGAAGATTTAAGGGGAAGATGGAAGGTGAAGCAGATGGCTGTAAAGGAGGGAGGGTATGGTGGAAGGTAAAATAAAGAAAATTATAAGACATTGAGACCGTGGTAGAACAAGAGGTTGTACCAATTTCTTTTGCACACACAATTCTGGTTTTTCAGATGTATGGTTATTGGTTCGGCGATGCAAAGAAGATGCAATCTAATTGTCATTTGAAAACTTCTACTTCCCTTGTAGATGACTTTGAACTCAGAGTCTAACTTGATTTAGTGACCTGTGTTCACAAGGTGTTCGATTATTGGACTTCTTATTGAACAGTTTCTTCCTCTTCTTAGCCACGCTGGATAATGTTCTTGAATTATTTTGGATAAATTATGCATCGAACGACCTATATACATAACTCCACATGAGCAGGTAAACTGATAAATGCACATTGAGTTGGTCAGATGCGATAATTTATCTTTAAGATTATTAATGAACAATGATCGGCTGGATAATACTATTCCCGACGTTGCTGCGAAGAATGTTCTTTTTAAAGAATCAGAAACTCTCCTGTTTAAGATGTATGTGGCCCTGTCACCCTTAAAGGTCGATATTCATGCTTTCTTTTCTGTTGAAATGATTTGTGTTTTAGGCGGTTTCGGTTTTATGTTTTATAAATGAATACGGAGAGATATCCGTTTCTGATAAGTATCTCCTTCAAGAGGTCCAGTTCTTCATCTATCACCTCGGGACTACAAATTTTTCATATTCTTGTAGCGAGTGATCTTTTTTAAGTTTCTTCTTCGACTAATGGGGACCCAGTTGTGGAAGCTTGATAGTTGACCATTCCACATGGGTTTCCTGTAGATAGATCCTCTAAGAGTTCCATCTTTTTTTCTTGTCACTTTCATATCAAGAAAGTGAATATTCTGTTTGTTTTCAAATTCAAGTGTGGATTTTTTGCTGGGTGACAATTATTAAATGTCTTTAGAAAATGACTCAAGTCATATTTGTTGTCACAAATGATAAAAATGTCACCTACGTACCTTTTTTACAAGTGGAAGTTTCATATAATCGTTTTAAATTGATTGTTTTCTAAATTGACCATGAAGCAATAGACCAAGTGAGGATCCCATTGCTATGCCATCCTTCTGCCTATGAATTACGTCGTTGAATGTTAATTGTACATTGCAAGTGCAATGTAGTAGTAGTTCCTTTAAATACGTTTTCGGTATTCTGATATTAGTCTCATTATTATTTATGTACTTGCAGATAAAACTAATGGTCTCTATGAGTGGGACATTAGTGAGTAATCATTCGACATTCAGAGATAGCATGATTTTGCCACTTACATTCACTTCTTTTATGTGCTCGATAAATTCAAAATAATCATGTAACGAATATCTACAAATGAGTTTTCTAACGGGGTTCTAGGAAATTCGCCAGCCACTTCGCTATAGAGTGCTACGGGGATCCGGACATATTAAGAATTGGTCTAAGAGATAGGCCAAGTTTGTGTACTTTCGGCAGATCATATCATCGCGGTATTATTAATCCTGTTGGTTTTATACACTCAAAGACATGTTCGTTGATTGACTGATCATTTTTCATTCTCTTAAGAACTTCAATCAGTTACTTTTCTATAATTTCTGTCTTGCTTTTCTCATTAATTGGTTTTGAGAATTTGGTGTCCTCTGATAATAACATTGTCCGTTTTTCAACATAAATCTTGTGGTTTAGCAGCAGTAAACCAGCACCTTTATCTGAACGTGTTATAATTAAGTCTTGATTGTTTCTAAGTAGTTTTAATTGATTTCTATGTTGTTCCGTGAGAAAACTTTTCCCTACTACTTTTGTGCTAATATACTGATTGCAGTTATTGAGAACAGTAGATTCGAAACGTTAGAACTCTTGGTCAGAGACTGGACTAAGACTATTTGTTTGTTTGATAACACAATACGGCGTACTTCATATTCGAATTCTAGCTTGCGTCTTGCCAAACCGATACTATCCCTAAATCCTATAATCCCAAAACATGCCTTAACCTGGTCGTATAATATTTTGTGAACGAACTGATGACGTATATATATATAGATGATTTGGCTCACTGACATTTCACTGGCCCTATATAGTGATGAGATTTCAGTGAACGTGGCCATGTATATTCATGGTTATTTTGAATAATTATTAAAACTGAAGTACTATAGGAAACAAAGAAAGTATTAATTTGAAGATATACTGCAGACGAGTTTCGATTAGTGTGCACCCTCAGTTATAACAGGATTGAAACTATATTCTTACAATGTTACTTATATTCACTAGTGAATCATTGAACAGCAGCCAACGTTAGATCTTATTGCTGATTAAACTTTCTCCATTAAAGTGTTATTTATACGCAAGAGTTTTACAGAAGGTACAATAAATAACTCTATCACATTATCCATATTCATTTACTTCGTACTAAACATTTCGAATAAATTCCTATAAATATCATGAAGAACGAATAATCACAAGCTTTTTAAGTCAAGATGGATAGTAGTTAGCAGTGAAATCCATGACGCGTGTTTCGTTCTATTTGGAACTCGTCGGCTGAATATTCATTCCAATACTCGAACCCATTAGCGCTCGCTTCAAACCCCAATAGCTAAGTGGATAACGAGATGTACATCCAGCTGACGAGTCACAAATAGGACGAAGTTTCGCGAGTCCTGAATTCCACTGCTAGACACTATCTATATTTGCTTAAAAAAGCTCATGACTTAAGGCAATATTGAGGTCGTCCTTACAGGATGCACATAAGCCAACATGAAACTGATCAATTGTAGTTCTAAACATCAATGGGAAGATACAAGTAAAACAACACCAAGAACAAATAATGAGGATAATTTTATTAAACAATTTACAGGAAAAAAATCAATAGTAGTTATTTTTTGGTTTTTATTCATCTATTACATCATCACCATCATCATCGTCGTCGCCGTCGTCATCATCATCATCACCATCGTCGTCATCAACTATCTAGTTTGTAATCAATTTCACTATAACAAATTTCATCTTCATAATCAAGACAAAAATAAGATGGAATGAGTTCGAATTGTTCTAATCTATTAGTGATATCATCTATCAATGATGGAATAGTTTCAATTTGATGTAATGCATTTTCATTTGGTTTATGTTTCATCATATTGTATTGTTTACTATGCATGACACCATTCAACTGAAATTCAATAGAGATCATAAATAATGAGTATAGAGTGTACATGTGAAATTGAGTGAAACTGAAATGAGAATGAAAAAGTACTTATTCAATCAAATGGACAAGTATATTGAGATAGTGGAGAAGATTTGTAGCTCAGATAGATGATTTTGTTGGAGTTTTATTCTTTGAACTGAATGGTTTGGCTCATGAAACTTTCATTGTTCTTCTCAACGACATCATCAACACAAACTTCAGGTAGAAGTTTGATACCATAGTTTATCTTGTTTTCTGTTGCGTTTCTTCACTTATTCCCGCATTTTTAGTGATAACTATAGTGTTGCGAAGAATTTCAGTTTTGAGGCGTATTGTAATTTAATCCCTTTCGGAATAAATATTTTTTGTTTGTTAGTGGCTGTTTTGACAAGTTGACCAAGCAGTTATTTGTGTTTTCTTCCATGGATGGTTTTGAGATCTTGATTAGTTTCTTCTTTAAGGTGTTTCTTCTTTGTTCTCTGTGTCGTTTGCATGGTACCTTGATGGCTGTTGTCAAGATTTCCAAATGTTCTGAAGTCACCATCCTTTGTAGCTTGCTCTGTTAGTCTTCTATGATAGGTTGGTATTTGTGCATCCTGTAGTGTGCATCAGTTATCATTAGGTGTACCATTTTTCTTTCACTTTGCTCAGCTATTCTCCATCTCATTGGGAAGTTGATTAGAGGTCTGTATCTCACACTTAATGGCAGAACATACTGGCAAAGACACTCGTGGAGAAAATACAGTTGTTTTCGAGTGGAAGACTGCCTTTTAACGAAATTCTCCCATTTTCGAACAACGAGAAGCGTACTACACTCAAATGATTTTGAGATGGTAGAGAAGATTTGTGGCGCAGGTAGATGATTTTCATGGAGTTTTATTTTCTGAGCTGGATGATTTGATCGTGGAGCTTTTATTGTTCATGTGAAGTTTGTGCTGATGATGTCGTTCAGAAGAAGGATGTAAGCTCCACGACTAAACCATTCAGTACAAGTATATTTCTAAAATGACTTCTGTCTGTACAAATATTTATATACTTATATAGCAGTTATAAATCTCGATAATCCAATAAGAAGACGACGTTTATCAGCATTATGTGTGATATATCTGCACAATACATTTCGAACAATCTGATCACACATAATATACTGGGTAAGAGCATTTATACATGGAAAATAAAAGGTCAACTAGACAGACTAAAGGTAAACCGTAACAAAGTAAAATAAAATAATAAAGTACACCACTCTGGATAATAAATCAGTATTACCAGGGTAGGTTAATGGTAAGGAAAATTATTCTTGAACAACATAAAGGGGGTTTCAATTTCCGTATAGCCAAGGCTTCAATAAACCTTAATATTGGTCCTTGAAAGCTTTTGTATAACACTACAAATGCTGATTTCACGTCAACTTTATGATCAGTGTCAATCCAGTTTTTCACAATGAAGGATGATTTCTGTCTATCCTGTAATCTAAATTGACCATTGGAATTTATTTGTATCTTTACCTTGTCTAGTTGACTTTTTATGTTTCATAGAAAAGTGTCTTAATTAGTATAACATGTATGATCCGATTGTTCTAAATGTATTGAGCTAATATATCATCGCATAGTTCTGATAAACTTGGTCTTCTCATTACATTATCGAAATTTATCAAATGGACTGATTGTTTTAAATCAACAAATCTGTTCTTCATGAAATTTAATAAACATCTAGTAAATTGAACAAGCAACTTCGCCTGGAGTCCCTCCGGGGTGCTACTGCTGGTCCCGAGCCCGTATAAAGGAGGAAGGTTGGGCATGGGGTTAGCGACCCTATTCGTAGAAAACCGATTCGCTACAGAAAACGCTAACCAGAAAAAATTATTCAAAAAAATTAAATTGAACAAGCTGCATGTTTGGAATTAATTTTCTCGACGAAGTAACATAGTCTGACCCCTAACTGGATGTAATGAGCTTTGTGTTTAGATGGTGCACTTATGAATACAACACAAGATATCCGATTATAACACTAAATAAACTTAAGTTGGTCAATTTGTGAATTTTAGATCTCGTGTCTACCAACACTGTTTATCATGATCCACTCTGATATTCTAATTTAGGTTTGCTACGAATATTGGTTTACTTATATAAACACATAAACATTGGTGCAAGAAGGAACCAACACCAGCAGGATTGCCACTGGCTTGTATTTTGAGCCACGTTTGATAACCTCCCAAACTACTGCGTTGCACTATCATTAGGACGTCAATCAGGGAATCATGAAGAGCCAGCAAATTCTAGTTGTGCTCATACTGCGTCACGATCTCATGCACTAAACACCTCTCTACCTTCTTCAACTAGTCCCGCGTCTCAAAATAATGAACGACCTCAAAATGACTGGGACCACATTCAAGGGATATGCCCAAGTCACTATATTTGGTGTTCCAATCGAATTTTTGTCGCTGCACCCGAACACGTGTTGCCGAACTTTTGCATTACAGTTATGGTTCTGCCACTGAATGTAAGAAGTCCGTCGGAAACAACAATGATTAAACACAGAGTCGTTTAACATTCTCAGCTCAGAGAGAAGAGGTTTCACATACATGGAGCAAACACTACACCTCCCCGACGCATCATAAATCTTAACTTTCACATTTAGACTAACATCACGAAGGCATCAAAGATGGCCCAGATTGGCATAAGCCGTGAGACATTGTTTCTCACACCGATTTCTTCTCATTTCGATGGAGTTTTCTTATCTAACAGCACATAAACGGCTGTTAATGTGGATCTAATCGATTAGTGCTGCCCCAACTTTGGCTCGTAGTGTGACACCAACTCCAGCAGAATTAGACGACCACCAAATGCCCTGGTACTTCATTAAGTTATAATCAATGTGTGTGGAGTATGGAATTCGCTGCATACATGTGCAGAGATAGAATGATGAGTAAAATAGGAAAAAAATATACGTTGTGGTAATGTAGAGACGAATAGGATATGTAGATGAAGTTGATAGAAAGATTTTCATAATATGGAAGCTTCAAAAGAACTATCCTCTTTCCAGAACATTGTCTCCAGTTAATTAAGTCAATGTCATATAAAAAACATAATCAGAAATATGATAATATGGCACTGTAAACAAAATCTTACCATTAAATTATTATTTGCATTAATCTCAAATTGTTGGCTACACTCTCGTTGAGCATCATGTTTATTGATTTCTTTGGTTGATATCATTGTAAACACCTCGAAAAGAAGAAAAGATAAACAAAATGATACATATCACAACACTGAATTGATTTGAATAGAGAGAACTGTAAAACAGAACGGATCTGTTATCGATTACCGCTGCTAAGAGTTTTAGAATGATATGTATTGCTTCTATTCAGAATTGGATTGAATGAGTCTTTCTGATAGATGCCTTGATATTGTAGCCCTCTATATATCAAAAATGTGTTAATAAAAATCTTCTACAAATTACATCAGACCCATTGGACAACATGATGGATGTATGAATTCAGTAATTTAAAGAATAACACGTCAATATTTGAAATGATTGAGAATGATGCATATAATTCCACCAAAGCAACGTATCCCGAACTCCCAATTTTGGGGAAGTCACTATAGTAAACTCTGGAGAAATGGCACCAAAACCCCGAAATTTCCTCAGTCCTGAGGAAATTCCCCAATATCGCCCCAAACTTGAGAGATTGGGATTGTTTATACACTGTGAATATCTACTTTTTTGTCCTAAAAGTATAGTTCCCATTTTAAAAAGGATGAGCGACGCCTTCAGAATGTTTACCTACTTACTGGGGATAAATGAGATTTATGAACATGGGTGAAGAATAAGGATCATGATTTCTAGTTGATGGTTAGGGTTAAGAATAAGATTTATGTGAGGGGTGGGGGTCATCACGAACTAACATTAGCTAACCTAACCCTAACGTTCATTGTCCAAATAGATAAATGAATTTCACTCTAAAATTCAAGACCAATTATCCTAAATGTGATCTATTTGTTCATAAATCATAGTTTAGCTTCAAAAAGATTACTCAGTAACTGAACACTGATTCACTCAACACTATTTATGATTATCGCCATATTTCTAAAGTTAATAAACTGAATGTAATGAATTCCAACAGAAAATCTTTTACTACTTTTATTAATGTGACAGGGTTTCATTTGAGAGAGCAACTAATATCACATAAGAAGTAGGACATATCACTAGTAAAATAGAAACTTAATGTATATCTAATGTGCCCCGTTGATTTGACTCCAATTTAGATGAACGTATGAATATTCCATGAACATAAATCTGGCATTTAACTACGTATATTACCTAGGCTAACCCTGTTCATGTGATGGCGGTGGGTTACATTAGAGGAGTTTATTTCAAGTACTTGTTAGTCTAGACAGACATTCAGAATAAGAAGTGGGAAAGTGAAGTGGAGAGGAGTAGGTGAGTGACACAACTCGATTTGATTAAGTATTTTACAATACTTATAGTCAGACAAAAATAAACTACAGACACATAATCAATAGAGTAAGCAGTTAACACACATACGCTCATATAAAAATAGTCAAGGAATTAAATGTCTAGTGTGCTGAACAGCGAAATATTCCTCAGACTTACAGAATTACAGATCACCAGGGCAACTCAACCAAATCAAATCCCTATCCTAGTGACAATTAATAACACCAACTGTGTTCAATCGAATTCACTAGATAACCACCAATCAGCATGTTGCACTGCCAAAAGTTCACTTTCAAACAGTTAGGCAGCTGACAACATGCATCATTCTGATTGGCTTCATGAAGAGAAGGTCATTCGAGATATTTGAGCTGAAATACATTAATTATAGGTGGTAATTGGATAGTTACTCGGAGGTGGTGGATAAACAGTCTAAACTGTAGCATATGAATGACCCAATTAATTTCAAAAAATGACTGGATAGTTTCAAAGCCGTTTATTGACTGATAAACACAATTCCTGAAATCTGATGAAGTTTAGTGGTTTTGAGAAAGTTTATTAATTTTCTAAGACTGATTATCGGTTTACTTATCTCTACACAAAACTTCATTTATTATCTGAGTGTTAATATATTCACAATGAAGAGTTCGTTTCTAGATCATTGTCATATCCATAAAGTATTTTAATAGTAAAATCATCACCGGCTACAATATCTTAATCAGTTAGTTTACTGAAGTGTTGAGGATATGGAGCTGTAAGGGCAAAATCTTTATCCCCATATCCATATGAAAAGTCATGAGTGTAAATCTTTATACGTATATTTAACATTTACGAACTCACCTATTTCGGTGGAGTTTTGTTCTCTGAGCTGCATCGTTTGGTCCGTGACCAAACCATTCAACCAACATCATCCACCTGAGCTACAAATTATCTTCACCATCTCGAGCTCACTTATTATTCATTGAACTACTAAAGATGAAGTTCATCGAAGGAATCTCTTATCAATGAATTCAATATCAACATGTACAATGAAAGTGTTAATTCCGTAAGGAAATGTGATACAAGGAATAATCAAGATGATGTAATAGAATGATTATAATACTATTAGATTATGTAATACGAATTATAACACTAACTAATAGACTTAATGAGTTAGTAACGAATTATCACATGTGAATGTATGAAGATGATTAAAATGGTTTTGTCCCATTAACTAGTGGATATGAAAGGTCATAATGATGATATCATGAGCAATTATAACTAATGAAAATATGAGACATAAGTACGTCTTATCGTTATTATTACTTTGACCTTTATTATAATTATGATTATTGGATTTGTTGTTTTACTTAATGTCTCATATTCTCATTATTTACATCACTATGACCTTTAAATAGTGTAACAAAAAACATTTTAGATTGAGATCATGAACTGATTGATATTAGACCATCATTGAAAACCTGGAAGCACTGAATGGTCGTTTGATCCTATTGTGGGACTCCTCAGCAATGCACATCCACGATCCCGCCTCCCGAGATTTGAACCCAAGAGCTATCAGTCTCTCACGCGAACTCTTAACCTCGAAACCACTGAGCCGGTCTCCAACGGTGTTAATGTCTAACTTCAACCAATCCACAAAATTGAGCCACCGTCCATTTTACTCATCGTTCTACATTCATGTTATAATTTGTTACTAACTTATTAGGTCTACTGATATTATTCGTATTACGCAACCTAGAATTATAATCTTTCTCTCACATCATCTTGGTTATCCATTGTTCACATGTCTTCATGGAACTATTACTTTCATATATATACGATTGTACAGGTTGATAATAAATTCGTTGATAAAAGATCTCTTCGTTGAAATTCGTGTTTTTAAAAGTATAATATACTGATGACATTAGGGGGATTATCAGTCAATCGGGAAACAGCAATAAAAAGCGATGAAATGACAGTGAAGATAAAGAGTTCATTTGGATAAATAACTCCAACATGCCAAATTATGCTTTGTAATAAAGGAGAAATGTTAAGTTTGCACATTAGAAGTCGGGATAGTACATTGAATTAGACTTTCCGTCCCCAAATTACATCGGTAATAATGTAAAATCGCTAGGACTAGACAGTTTGAGCAAAGCGAGAGATTCGAGTTGGAATTGTCATCACAAAACGACATTAGTTATAATCCAATGCTTCACCACATTACTGTGTGCAAACTTAAGAAACTGAGGGTTGATTTTCAAAAGAAGAGTTATAAAGAGGGAATATCATTTAGATTCACTAAACTCTGTTGACCACGTATTGAGTCACATCAAACACTTTAACACACAATCTGCTTGTAGCTCTTCTAGGGTTACTAGCAGTCTCAAGCACAGGTAAAGGAAATGGGTGGAGCATGGGGTCAGCAAACACATTCCGTTGAAAACAACATTGCTAAAAACGCTAACCATAATAAACAAATTAAACCATTTAAACTCTGTCCTGGGAGTCAAACGATCTTCATTCAGACAACTATGACGTCTCATGGTGATATTCAAGATTTTTCGAAAGTCACCAAATCAATGTTGCTTCTAGCAACCAGAGCAACAACTGTTATAGGTTTATTAGAATGTCCGGACAATATGGGAGAACGGGAAAGCCAACCGAATAGCTACAAAATTGAACAGATACAACTTGATAACACTCCGAATTAGCAAAACACGTTGAACTCAAGTTGTATAGAAATGGACAGATTGAGAAGAGATGAAGCTGTACTCTAGTTACGAAGAACAGAATGCTGATATGGTGCTGTCTAAAGTAACACGAAGATGCACTTATCGGCAACTCATCATCAAAGCATCCTTCAAAACAAAGAAGAAGGGAATCACAATGAATGTTATCCAATGTGTTGCAACCAACAATGATAGCAATGAAGACAATAAAGATGTCTTATGAGAGACTGCAATCGATCACAGTAAAGAGCCCAGCAAAGGATCTGACCATCACAATAGGAGACATAAGCACCAAATTGAGAATGGACAACGCCGGATATAAAGATATCATAGGACGACATGGATTAGGAAGGAAACGAAAATGGGGAGAGATTCGAGAACATATGTGCATTCAACAAATTGGTTATAGGCGGCACAATATTCACCCACAAATACACACACACAGACATTCCCATAGATGTCACTCCACCAGCGACCGAACAAAATAAGATGGTCATCAGGCACATGAGCAGTGGGAAAGCAGTAAGATTTGACAATAGACTAACTGAAGCATTGAAGTCACTCATAGAAGCAAATGCTAACATGTTCCATACTATATTCAGGAAGATTTCGGATGGAGTACAAGTGCACAGACAGAATAGAAAGAACATCTCATCGAGATACCGAAAAAACATAATCTGTGCAAATGTGTGAACTATAGAGGAATCAACAGTGTTACTGAACAGGATGAAGGACTCTACAGATAACCAACTTCGAGATTAACTGTTTGATCTCCGCAAGGATCAGTTGTGCACAGACAAAAGCGATACTACGGATCTTCGTTGAGTAATAAATTGGATGGAATTCGTCACTATACATCAACTTCCTCGAACGTGAGAAAGCATTTGACAGTATGGAAAGAAGAAACTCATGGAACAATGTTCGAGATCATGGAGTACCCGAGAAAGCCGTCAACATCGTACAACATTCTTACCACAGATTACACTGTGACGTCATGCATAAAGGGCAACTGACATGTGCATAACAAGTAAAGAGTGGTGTCAGACAAGCCT